TGCGTCTGATGAAGTGGGCATTCACCCACGAAAGCTTATGCTCCAATACTTCTCTTAGTCTTAAAGGTGCCACAGGACCCTCTGTTGCTTTTTACAGATTCAGACTAACACGGCTACCCCTCTGATACTTGACATATTTTTATTGTTTGTTTCATCTCTTTAAAGACTGAAATGTCCGTATGATACTGCTGTGGAACTAGCAGCTCTATGTCTTCAAGGTATGTGACTATTTAGAAGTAATTTGCATAACCTTTTATTTTAAAAAGTTGACCAACAATTTCTTCACATATTTTTCCCTTTTGTCATGAATAGGCATTAATTGACAGTACATTTGTTTAAGTGGCAGCTATTTTTATTGTGGTTAGTCATTAGTATCATAAATTTGCTGAGTTTTAGAATCTCTGACTCACAATCAGACATTTGTGAAACTTTTGTAATGAAACTCAGTTCAAGTTCATTGTTTTGAAATTATGTGCCATGGCTTGACTGAGCATAGGCCTAATATTGGGCATGGTCCAAAGTCCACTCAGGTCAAAAAGAGTCTTTCCATTAAATATAATGGGCTTTGGATCCTTCAAATTGAGTGTTTTGGGACCAATTAGTGGTTTTGGATTAGATTGACTATGAAATTTTGGGTTCAATTCAACCTAGGATTAGGAACAAAATTCAGGGAAGACAAGACCAGGCAAAAGTAGTAATAATAACAATAACATCATTTCCCATGAAATTGTGATCCATATTGCACAGTTTTGTTCATACTGTGAACGTACACAAAGATGGTAAAGGAATTGTTTTACTCCCTTTTCTTTTCATTCATGTTGCTTCTTTACTCTCTCAACATGGACCTTCCGGGTTAAAGTCCAGAGCCCACATTAACTTCAAATTGTTATGCACTTATTTTTATCTGTGGAGACTCTAGAATATCACAAGCACCGGTAACTTCATCACAATTTTAGACAAGGAGAACTGTTCATAGAACAGCTTGACATGTCTACAGTTCTGGTAATCAAAGATATGGAGAATTATATCTCTACTAAGAAAAGGAATAGAGCAGGTCATCCATTTACGGCATTACCAGTATCGTAAAAGAAATTTTTCTTATCCAGTATCAAAACCAATATTTTAAAAACTGTATGTCAAAACAAAGTACTTATAAATGGTGATGGCATTTTTTTCTTTGATCCAATCAATTTTTCTCTATTTGGAGGTACTTATAGTAACTTTCTCTAAAATAACGTCATACGTTGGCACTGTAATATTGAATTCTCTCTGCAGATATTAGAATTACAATTTTTGGATAATTTCTTGTATATTTCTTTCCTTTATATTGATATTGGAGACTTGTAAATAAGCAGAGGAGTTTAAAGAACTGTAAAATGATTATTCCCTCCTCAGTAGTTTAAACTTCACCCAAAATTTAAATGTATCTTTTAGTGTGGCTTTTTTAAGGGTGAGCAGGATGATAAAAGGGCAGGTCACATAGGAATTGGTGTGTTAATCATTTTAAATGGGGGCCAAATTCTTTCTCTTAACCAAGACTCTATTTTTACTTCACCGTTATGGCTGGTTCATGAATAATATTGTTCTATTAGATTAATTCTTTTATTGTTTCAACTAACTGCCTTAAGAGCTGGTATTTTCTTTACAAAAGTACAATTTACATCTCAAAGACAATGCAAAGAAAAATCTGGAGAGAAGCATCTATTCATGCTTTTGTAGCTGCTTTAGAATTCTCCTGTATTGCAACTTCCACTTTATATAGTATTTAAAGTTTGGTTTTATTCAGTCTAAAATAATTGGTACAATACGTTAAATTATATATTTAAGGTCACTCTGACACAATTCACTTAACCAGCTGCATTTCTGAGCTACTAATTGAAACCAACAAGTGAACTCTTTCTAATATATTTTAAATATCTCAAGTTGTCTGTTTGCATTATCACATTATAAAATCCTATTACGCATTTATTTTTCTTTCTACATTAAAGAGACAGTGGTGTCTCTACAGGTGAAATAATTTTACACTTTTTAAAGACACCTGGGTAGCTACCTTATTTTAAAATGCATCCACCAGTTGGTGCATTTATTTATAATTTGTCTATTTACACGTTAGAATGCAGATACATAATTTTTAGACTACAATATGTATATAAAAAGAACACACTCCAAAATAAGCCATCCTCATCCCTGAACCTCCAGTAAAAACCTGAGAAAAGAGATGGACCTAGGACTATGCCTCAAATGTCAACAAATTTGCATTCTGTTGAGCCAGCCAGGGAAGCTAAATGTACAAAACTGGCTCCGCTGATTTAACCTTATCAGCATCAGAGGCTTCTGACTTCTGTCAGACACAAAACAGCAGCAGAGTTGTCAAATGTCTCTGTGAAAACTTGTGTCTATGTTTTACTGTTGTAATTCACATTGGAAAATACTGTTGAGCAAAAAATATACATGTGACATTATATTTAATATTTTAGGAACCCTAAAATTTGGTCATAAATTTAATCTATTTGGTCATAAATTTAATTGTTGGCTAACAATTAATCTGGGTGTCCTTGATCACTTAAAATAATTCATTATCATTTTTTATCTTCAAAAAGACTATTTTTCCATGTAAATAGTCTTTCTATTCTGTATTTCTGCAACTTTTATGTGTAATGTTCACATGAAGCAATAGTAGATTTTCTTCAACAGAACTGACTTTCTTAATTCCTTCGTTGTTCATGGCAGCAAGAACGCAGATGCATTATAAATAAGGCTACGTGTCTGTTACAGAAGTCACGGACTCTGTGACTTTCTGTGACTTCTGCAGCGGCCTGTGCTGACCCTGGGCCAGCAGCAGAAGTTTGGGTGTGTGGGAGGGGGCTCAGGGCTGGGGCAGGGAGTTTGGGGTGTGGGCGTTGCTTACCTTGGGGGGTGGGGGGCCTCCCCGGCTCCCACCGGCATATCCCTGCAGCTCCTAGGCAGAGAGGCCTGGGGACTTGGCATGTAGCTCGCGGCCGCAGGCGCTGCCCCCACAACTCCCATTGGCTGTGGTTCTCGCCCAACCAGCAGGGGTCCCGGGTTGCGCCTGGCCCCCCACCCCAGCACCAGCGTGGATCCCGCGCAGCGTTTCCCTTCCTGCCCCCCCAAGCATGGGTCCCAGGCTGTGCACCACTGCCCGCGCGCGCGCACACACACACCCTCTAGTGCCAGTGGGGGTCCCTGGCCGTGCAACACCACCCGCCTCCTCCCCCATAATAGCGGGGGTCCCGGGCCACCCCCCTCAGCACCCACAGTGCCCCCAGACCACCCCTACCTGTGGTCCTCCAGCCCAAGTTTTAGTTAGGGGCATATAGTAAAAATCATGGGCAGGTCATGGGGTCGTGAATTTTTGTTTATTGCCCATGACCTGTCCATCACTTTTACTAAAAGTACCCATTAAAGCACCAACATTAGCACATATGTAGGCATGTGTCATTTGTATGTGGTAGCATTGGGGATGCATGTTTGCTGCATATATGTTAAACAGTACTGAAGCAGTTAAATTGCAAATTATTTGTATAGGTCAGACATTCATGGAACCATGTGGGAAATTTCTCACCATACGTATAGGAGGTCGGGGCTCAATTCAGTAGGGTTCTGATCTCAATTATAGGGTGCTGAACACCTTGCAGGATCAATACCAGGCTCAATCTGTGCCTTCAAAAAACAAAACAAAACAGCTCTTCCCAAATATGTACTACAGACATGAAAATTATGATAGTGTTGGGGGTTTAGAAAATGCTATAATCAATTTCTTGACACTAGCTACTGTATCTTTACATTTCCATATATACAATATGGGAAGAAATATGCAATCATGGAAAACACTACTTAGTGATGGAAAAAATACATGTTTCAATTAAAGGAAATGCAGAGTAACCTTGCATGTAAAAGTAGTGCATTTGATCTGTTTTGAATTGAAATTATATTCCTCTTGAAATCCCTTAAATGCAAGAAGTAGAGCAGTATTTCATGTGTTTAGAATTCTGAATCTGTGTCCTAAACTTTCCTATAGAGTTTCTAGTCTGATTTGTAATTTGAGATGGCAGAACTTAAGTACTTATACAGATGACAACAACAAATGTATATTCTAAAACTTCTTCAGTAGGCTGCTAAACGGGGATATGGAAGTATCTTTGTAGAAGCAAGTTGTTTTTTAATGTTTGTGGTGACAGAGTGACCTTTTTTCTGGCTTTCTGAATGATTCCAGCTGAACTTGGAGAGTGTGAGCACCCAGAACACACACCAGAACTAGTGTCTGAATTCAGATTTACACCAAACCAGACTGAAGCTATGGAATTTGATATCTTTCAGAAATGGAAAGAGTGCAGGTATGGTACCTGTGTGGTGGTGTCAGTTATAATAAAGTTACACAAGAGATTCTTCTCCAAAATCAAATATTGCTGCCTAGACCCCTGTTTTGGGGTCAAACAGTCTCAATGTGTGTTGTTTTAGGGGTTTTCTAGAGACCTCTAGAACCCCTTTAAAGAAGTGGCAGGCATTAACATCAGGCAGGGCTGTGTGGTTAAGTTAATTGCAAGTTTCAGCATTTTGGCTCCATTTTTTCTCCTTGACCTGTGTTGAAGGAGTTCATTTTCCACAAGTGAGAATTTTCATGCCTTCCAAGACTCCTTCACTTAAGCAAGCAAGACTCCTTCACTTAATTTGTAGTTAAGGTAGCATTGTCAAAGATCTATTTTTGCCCACACACTCAATCTTTCAAAGATTTCAGGTATTTAGTATCAAACCAGAAGCCTAAATCCAACCCTCCCAGCCTGTGTGTGTTATTTTGTGGGGTTTTTTGGATGAGGATGAAATTGAGACATGAACCAGGAATGTCTTAGCTCAGAAATCTTCATCTTAAAGCCAAAATATTGAGTCCCCTTTGGTCAAAGGGAACTTGACTATTGGAAATTATGAAGATTGTATTAGCCACTATGCAGTTTTTCTAAAACTTTGGAGCACTTAAGATTCTGGATTGTTGCAGTAGTACTGTGCTATTTGCAGCTATAACCAGTTACATGGCAACAATTCAGTGGAGTAAGAGATAATTAGCCGTAATGGAAAAGGAATAACTTGGACATTTTGAACTTTAATACTCTCTTCTTAACAAATGGATATAGAGGCACTAATGTGCAGTTTTGTAACTTGCTTTTCTCATGCTGTCATAGAAACTGACCACAAATTAGAGGCATGCAATTTTATTTTTTTCTGATAAGTCACTTTTTTGAGAAATGGGAGTTTGGCTTAGTATAGCTTCTTGGAATCTTTGAGCTTGTTATGGACTCCGATGACATTACATTGAAGTCAAGCGTGGTTTTCAAACCAAGTCTCCATTTGTGTAGTACAATTGTTCTCCCGCAAACAAATCGTCATTAAAAAGCATGAACGAACTGTGGATGCAAACTTGTGCCCTCAGAAATGGAAGCCCAGTTTAAAAATTAGGCCCCATAACACCAAAGTTTTTTTTATTACTGGTCCCTATGTGTATTCTACCATACACCTGAGAGTGAAAATCTTGCAAGTAGTGTCCATTCGTCCGTGTCTGCACCTGGGAACTCCTTGTGCTCAGCACCGAGGATATAAGGGGAGGTACAGACTGACCGCCTCTTCGGTTTTTTCTTACTGCTGCAAGGCCTGAGTCGGAATCCTCTGTATCTGGAGGTATCCTTGCACTGTCTTCATCTCTGTTATATATAATTGTATATAATCTGGTAGTGTTTTTATAGAGTTTTATAGTATTCTGTATAGTTAGTGTAGCTTAGTTTTCCCAACCTTGAGGACTCTCTCTGTCTCCCCTTTTGGGAGTAGGACTATGCTCAGAATTCTGGGATTTAAAAACTTTGTGTCCTGTCCTCGCTTCTTCTTCTCTCTCTTTATTGCATTGGTGCACAAATCTCCACCAAATTCACGATCTGTTGCTTCCTCCCACTCCAGAACCAAGAGGGATGAGAGTTTTGCTTGAGGAAACACTTCATGGAGAAAGCCATAAGACTTCAGTCAGATCCAGACTCGGGATGCCTTCCTGTATGTCAATCTCAGTCCTTGAGCATCGCACTTTTGAGCATGAGCTCTGGAGTAGAGGTCAGATCAGCTAACTCTAAGCTGGTCTTGTCAAGAAAATAAGGGGGCACTGTCAGAGACATAAAAACAGATCCCCCTCTAAGTCTGTTTCCAGAAGAAGGATCCCTCCTCGACTCCTTCCAAGTCAGTTGAGTCTTCATGTGCAGGTCCCAAGGACTTAGGTTTGCATAAGCCTCCGGACCATGACGTAAAAGTGTGCAGGAACAAAGCTCCAATGGTACCAGCCCCAGCACTGACACTGATGCTGACTGTGATCTCTAGCCAGAAGACCAACAACTACCTGTACCAACCAAGAGCTCTAGATGGAACTCTTTCTCTGACAGAACCAGCCTGGCCCCATAGGGATCCACCAACCACTGTCTGTCGTGGCACCAGATCTGGTGAAAACCCACAACTGGGACGTCTAGAACATCAGGACAGACTGAGATATATACTACCCTGGACCCACAATGTCCTCTACTTTTGGGTCCAATCCTTCTGAGTGACATTTTGACCCCAGAAAAGGAGCCACCTCAAGGAGAATAAGTTACTCCCCTAGTCTGTCTAGGAGCCACAGATTCCTCCGTCATTGACAGTACTGCCAATGGAGTTTGCTTTCTCATCTGCTGAATCCTATGTCCAGGATGAACCATCACCTACCTAGGGAGGTTAGCATAGACAGGACTTCAAGAATTTCTTGGACCTGTCCTGGGCTCAGGTAGGATTACCCTCCAAGAGATTTCTCGTATATAATGCCTTGCCACCACCACCACTACCCCCTCCCAAACAGCCTTTGACCCATCGTAGTGACCCTATTGGGGTCTGGGGGATCCTTATGCATGTCACCCAGATCCATGCACTCGACAAGAGCGTCACATTGTCCCTCTCCTCCTTGACAACAGCATCTGGCTTCTCAGGAATATGTGGAGGAGGAAGATGATGAGCCGGATCAGGTGATATCAACAAGCATATCCTCTTCCTCACCTGATGAGGCAATTGCCCCATCTTCACCATTCCTGCCTGATGACCATAGGCAATATCAGTAACTATTGCAGAGGGCAGCAGCAGAACTTCAGATCCCATTAGAAGAAGTTCAAGATACGAAGCACAAACTCTTGGATATTCTGCAGCCCACCAGACCAATCAGGTAGCTCTCCTGGTGAATGAGGCCAGTATGGAACCAGCTAGAATGGTATGGCATACACCAGCAACCTGTACTTCTATGACTAAAAGGGCTGAGAAATATTACTTTGTGCCTGTGAAAGGGGCAGAATTATTGTTTACCCACCAAGCCCTGAACTCCCTAGCAGTACAAGCAGCCACAGAAAGATCCAGATAGCAACACCCTAAAACCATTGCTGCAGACAACACCTGGGCCTTCTGGGGAGGAAGGTATTTATATCCACCAGTCTCCAGTTCAGAATCTCTAGCTACCAGGTCCTGTTAGCAAAATATTATTTTATGAACTACACAAAGTTCCTGGAATTCCAAGATAAAATTCCCCCAGGAAGACAAGGCGGAATTCCAAGCCCTTACTGAGGAAGATAGACTAGTGGCTAAAACCTCACTGCAAGCTGCAGTGGATGAGACTTCCTGGTCATTTATACCTCGGCCCCAAAGAGGCTTGCAATGACTGAAGAACATGAGTACCGACTGAAGAGCATGAGTACCAACCTCAAGGCAGACTGTTAGGAAGCAGGGCACAAACCCCAAATTGGTTGTGGTGTTCTATATTTAGCTTTCACCAACCAATTATCAAGTGTAAACTCCTCAGGCACTACAACAGCCTTAATATGGAGTCTTATAATAAACTGTCTAAAGATTTATTATATAGGGGGGAAAACAGAGTTATTTGCAAGGTTAAAGCAGGTAAACATATATATATGAGTTAGTTAGATTCTTTAATTTCAAAAGGTAATAGAAGCATGTATAATCAACAAGTTCTATATGTCCTTTAGGGCTAACCCAGGCTAAGCAGCTGGCAATCTCTTGCTTATGCCTGGAAAAACCTTGCCTTCCAGAGTCCAAGCAGCATAGAGATACCTATGTTGGGGGGTTTTATCCTTTCCTACCCTGTGCTCTGAGCTGCAAACTCAGCTGATAAGGAGGAATCCACGTGCATGACTCATCTTTATGGGGGAGAGAGCAGAACAACAAACAATAGTCTGTCTGGTCAATGGAGCTTGCCTCTTGGGAAGGACATAGCACCTTCTATTTAAGATCAGCCCTTCACACTAATTTACAGTCACAGAGGTTCACAATACAACCTCCCAATATGGGATACAGATGTTATAAGTGAGATTAATGCATGCAGCAATTTACAAGCATTCAGTAAAGTCTAAACACATTCTTGTAATTCTAATATCTATTTTAACAATACTAACGCACAGTTGAGCCAGACTGGTTCCAGCTATGTGTTTGTCAGTGTTCAATTGAGACATGGGAACTTTGGCATGAGCTGGCATTTGGTCTGCCAGCATCACAGAGGAAGCATCATAAACAGGTATGTAAGCTGAGACCTCTTCCATAGCCTTTCTAGCACCAACGACCATATGAACCACCATGCAAGCATCCAAGAGCTTAGAGGCCAAGGTATGCAGCCCCATCCCTCAACGACAGCTACCCAGCCTTATCCACCGGCTAAAGGCTACTTTTGACCGGACTCTGGGGAGTTGCAACATAATGATGATATCATCCTCACCTATTTCCAAATTCCCCTTTGGTGGCTGCCTAGCATACATTGCCCACAACTGGAGGGCTGTAACAGACAAGTGGGTACGAGATATCATCCACTTTAGCTACCATCAAATTTCTTTCTCCACCTCCTCAGAAGCCCCCTTTCTGGCCCCTATTCAGGGTCTGCTCTCATGAGAAGATCCTCCTCAAACGAGGAGGTAGACTTGCTCCTCAAACGAGGACCTATAGAGCAAGTTTCACCTCAGCATCCAGGGAAAGGGTTGTACTCCCACAATTTCATAGTTTGCAAGAAAGAGGTAGGATGGAGGCCCATTCTCGACCTACATCAGTTAAATGTTTATATTCACAAATTGAAATTCTGCATGGTTAAGTTGGCCTCAGTAATTCCCTGCTTGGAAAAAAGACGTATGATGAGCAGCTCTCGACATGAAAGATGCTTACTTTCCTGTGGATGTTCACCTGACCCACAGGTTCCTCAGGTTTCTTGTAGGACAGGAACACTCCCAGTTCAGAGGACTCCCATTGTGTCTGACAACAGCACCCAAGGTCTTCACCAAGATCTTCTCAGTGGTGGTAGCACAGATGAGATGAAATGGCTACATCATTTTCCTTTATTGGAACGACTGGCTTCTTACAGTCAGATCCCTTCTGGAAGTTCAGTTGGCAACTTTGTCCTTTCTCTGCCTGCTGGCATCCTTGGGAATCTGCATAAACATGGAAAAGTGTATTTTGACCCCCACACAGCTCATCAACATTATAGGCGTGACCCTGGACTTGACTGCAAGCAAGAGCCTCCCTCCCTGCAGACAGATTCTTAGTCATGAGCAGTCTGATAAACCAAGTCATGCCCAAACCCAGAACAAAAGTCCAGATCTGTCTGTCTTTGCTCAGTCACGTGGCCTCCTGCTCGTATGTAAGGTCATTTGCTAGACTGCAACTCCATTGTTTGCAAGCCTGGCTCTGGTTGGTATATTCGCCACACACAGCATGAACACCGTGACAGTGCCAGTCAATATCAGGGCTTCACTCAGAACCCCCAAATTGTGTGCATTGGAGTCCCTTTCCTACCCCTACCCTGCCTCGTGCACACGTACACAGCCAACATGATGATAATCACGGAGGCATCCCTCGTAGGCTGGTGAGCCCACATGGGCAGAGTCACATCACAAGATACATGGACACCGTGGAAACCTGGGATGCGTATCAATCTTTTGGAACCAAGTGCAGTCAGACAGGCATGCAGTGCATTCCTCCCGCTCATATGATCCTGACACATTTGGATAATGTCAGACAACATGACAACTGTTTTCTATAACAGCAAATAAGGAGGGGTAAAATCCTTTGCAGTGCACACAGAGGCAGTCAACTTATGGTGTATCTGGAACCACATCACAATTTGTGTGATGCACCTCCCAGGCACTCAGAACTCACTGGTGGACAGCCTCAGGAGGCATTTCATCCCCAATTATGAGTGGGAGTTACCACCGGGCCACCTTTTGAATCACTGGCCATGTTCTTAATGTCCCACCAGTCTGTTAAGGTCACCTTCCTGGTTGCCATTACATGGCCCAACCCACCATACACTATACTTCATAAAGAAAAGGTATCCCTTTACCTCCACCTAAAGTTCATCCCAAAGGTAATTCCTGAGTTCCACATAAACCAATTGATTCACGCACTGGTATTTTTCCTGAATGCCTCCAGTGAGGAAGGAGACTCCATTTTCTTGACGTCTGATGAGCATTGGCATTCTACCTGCAAAAAATGAAACCATTTGGGAAATCGCCCAGACTATTCGTTGCTATAGCAGAGTGGACACGGAGAAGTCATATCAGCTCAGATACTCCGTGGATTTCTGGTTGTATCCTCCTTTTCTATCAGTTGGCACATTGTCACATTCTGGGGTCCAGTCCAGCCCAGTGAGGGGTTGTGATACCATCTGCCTGTAACCGTAGGTGCTTTAAATTGCTATGCTGCTGTAATTCTCTTGTCTGGATGCTCCCAGCCAGCATACAAGCATGCACTGAGTGTCTGCGTAATAAGCAACCCTGGACCAGCAACTCTGATTCCAGCAGCCTATTTGCTACACTCCAGGTACGCACCAGCTCTTTGGTTACACGTGGTAAGATTAACTCCAACACCCCTCATCCCAAATTTTCCAAAATTAATGTGCTCTGCAATATCTAGCCCTTTCCTGGACCATTTAGAGGAATAATAAGGTTTGTTTGCTCCTCTAAAGAGACAAACTGCATAGCTTATCACTCTAAGTGGAGTTAGTAATCACTTCAATTCAGACACAACACTGGATTTGTTTAGATTAAAAAGTAAAACAAGTTTACTAGCCAAAGGAGATAGGATCTCAAGTGAGTTCAGGTATAAAGGATAGAGTTAGAAATGGTTACAAGGAAATAAAAGTGAAAAATGCTTTTTAGAGGCTAAGACCTAACAAAACTACCATCTTATGTCAAGGTAAGATTCTTACCATGCTCCCTACCAACTAGATGGCTGCCCTACCCCTCCGGTCATCTTCTTCCGCAACGTTCAAAGTGCTCGGTTCCTTTGTCACCTTAAGTGAAAGGTCACTTGATGTTCTTTGACCCTCTCTTTTATAGTCCAATTAACCTTTAAAATGGATTCTTCTGAAGCTTGCCCTCCAAAATAAAATAAAATTCAAGCTGTGAGAAAGGAGACCTGGAGCCTGGTGAAGGAAGTCCTATGCTGGTTTCGCCCCCATTTTTTTTCAAAAATGCAAATTGATCTGTTCCTGCTCTTTGCAATGCAAATGAATGGCTACTTGCCAGCGATTGCTAATCAATTTTGATTACACCTGCTGAAGGCATCAGCTTGTCCTTAGTCTGGGAGAAACCTGCTTACCCACTCCCCAGACCTGTCTGGTGTAAACACTTTTTAGTTCCACATTTCCTTCATATGGTCTCTTGGGTGTTTACTGTATATACACCATGCAAGAATATTAATTTACATCTGTGTTGTTAATTTTCTAGTTCTACCTTACATGACACGTAGCTGATACAGTTTGACATTAATGAGTTGTGGTACACTGAACTGGTCAGGTCAGCAGAACCTCCCTATCAGATACCAATAAGCCTCTTGCACTGTGATGCTGTTAAGGTCACATGCATCTCCCTCACCCGGATGGAGTGAGACTCCATTCCACTAGAGGACAGGCAATCTCTGTAGCAACAGTTTGAAAAGTGCCTCTGTTGGACATAGGGTGACCAGATGTCCTGATTTTATAAGGACAGTCCCGATTTTGGGGTCTTTTTCTTATATAGGCTCCTATTACCCCCACCCCCTGTCCTGATTTTTCACATTTGCTGTCTGTTCACCCTAGTTGGACATTTGTAAGGCTGCAACCTGGAGTTCCATACGCACTTTCACAAAGCATTGCACTCTGGTTCAAGCCTCTTCTGCTGACACAGACTTTGGAATTGCAGTGTTACAGACATCTATACCTCCTGTATCCTCGCAACCCCCTCCTCCTATTGAGGACTGCTTGCCAGTCACTCATGTGTGAAGCACGCATAGGGACTGGCCCTTGAAGAAGAAATGGAGGTTACTTACCTGTAACTACAAGTTCTCAGATGTGTGGTCCCTATCTATATTCCACTACTCACCCTCCTTCCCCTCTGCTTCGGCCCATGACTGGATTCGTGGTAGATAAGGAGCTGGAAAGGCAGTCAGTCTGCACCTACCCTTATATCCTCGGTGCTGAGCATGTGAAAGTCCAGGGTGGAGGCACGGACCAACGGCCACTACTTGCAAGAGATTTTCAGGGCCCCTAAAAATATTTGATGCCCAATTCCTTAACAGCTTTGAAAGTCTGAGTTTTGAAATTGTTTTGAAAAACACTTCACTAATTGAAGGTGTATGGTGTAATCAATGCAGGTGCTGCTGTGGCACAATGTTTATTAGAAAGTTTTTATATTAGTGTACTGTATATCCAGCCAGTTATGCACTTTCTTTGTAGAAATTAAGATCGTATTTGCATGCAACTGGCAGCATTTAAATGTAAACCAATCACTTTATCAAGTCTACGTGATTGGGTAAAAGGAGATTGCATTCAATGGTAAGAATGCAGGATGGCTAAAATGAAAAAGTTCTGCTGTGTATGAATTCAGCTGCATGGAGTCTATGTGTAGTCTTCTAGGCCCCAATTCAGCAAAGCATTTAAGCCTCTAATTAAGACCCAGCTTATATAGAAAGCAATTAAGCTTGTGTTTAAATAGTTTACTGAACAGGGATGGACTAAGCACATGCATAAAGTTAAGCATGTATTTAAATGCTTTGCAGAGTCAGGGTCCTAGGCAGGGGAGCCTGGGTAATGGATGAAAAGGGGAGTTATACTGTATATAAGAAAGTATTCTATTGCAAACTAAAGCACATTTTCCATTTTATTTTCACAGGGGAAAAACCCCAGCACAGGCTGAATTGTGCTACTTGAACAAAGCTAAATGGTTGGAAATGTATGGTGTAGATATGCATGTGGTTAAGGTAAGACCTACATTGTCATTTATTTCTGTGGGGAGTGGAAGAGACTGTAAATAGAAGAATGTGAATCTCTTTATAAACAGGTCATAATTCTCTACTATTAAAACATGCGAACAGACTTTGGTACTATGTGTTATAACAAAAGTTTTGAGTTACTACCATATTAAGATTTGTGCTAGTGACTGCATATTGATTATTCCATCATGTGTTTGGTTGTAGGGAAGAGACGGATGTGATTATGCACTTGGACTTACGCCAACAGGCATATTGATCTTTGAAGGAGCAAACAAAATAGGTTTATTTTTTTGGTAATTCATTTTTTGCTTTATATCCCAATTTAACTGCTGAAATCCTTCCCCTTTTAAATAATGAGTTTTGGCTTGCTTTGAATGTATAGTGTGGTGGATTTAAGAAGGGAGATTGATTCTGCAATATCAAAATAGATTAAGATACATGCTTCCGACTAGGTCAATTTATGTTTCAACAAAATCTAAAGTGATTTGTTAAACATATATTTATATTTTAAATACATTATGAGGTCAGATGTCCCATTATTGTAAACCCTCTTATATACCATTTTGTTTGTTTTTCTTTAACTAAAAATCCTAAATTTATAAAATGCCTGTTTATTTCCTGTATGTGTAGGCCTAAAATCACTAAAATGGACTTCAAAAAGAGCAAATTAACACTTGTGGTCGTAGAAGATGATGAACAGGTAATTTTCCCCCCCTTACTTGGAACCTGATCCATTGAAGGGCTGAGTACGTTCAACTCCTGTTGGCCACCAGAAGCTGAAGGGGCTCAGTGCCTTGTTGGATCAGGCCCTTTCTCTTTTGTGTTAGCCATTAACAAATATCATGCTTGCCAACTGCCAAAGTTTTTTTGTTTCTGCATTTAGGGCAGAGAACAAGAGCACACATTTGTTTTCCGGTTAGACAATGCAAAAACATGCAAACATTTGTGGAAATGTGCTGTGGAACACCATGCATTCTTCAGACTGCGAATACCAGCAAACAGTAAATCTAGCAGATCTGACTTCATAAGGCTGGGTTCACGCTTCAGATTCAGGTATTTCATGAAATAACTGGGCATTTGTATTTATTTGAGGACACAAGAAGACACAGCACAAAAATACAAGATTTGTCCAGTTCGTTCCAAGATTATTTATTTATTTATTTATTTATTTATTACTCTTTGCAAAGCACCTTGGTTTCTCTAAGCATGTTTGATAAGCACGAAGTAAGGGTGGAGTTAAGTCACTCTCTCTAACTAAAAAACATTTTTTTTTAGTGGTCGAACAGAGTATCAAGCAACACATGGATCCAGGTTACGCAGAACCAGTACATTTGAAAGAAAACCCAGCAAACGGTATCCATCGCGAAGGCATTCAACTTTTAAAGGTGGGGTTTTTATTTAACCCACTTGAATTATACATATTCATTAAACTAATTGTATGCTCATTAACAGCATAGCCACACATACATGTTGCAGAATTTCTACTGGTGTATAGATGACCATATTCAAACCAAACAAAATTATAGCTCAGTATGACGAGCATAACCAAATGAGTCACCAGCTGAAAAATCAAAGGTAGCAACTTTTCCCCTGAGTCAGTTTTGTTGTGTTATCCTTTGTGTCTCCTGCATCCTCTCCCATCCTTCACCATTCCTGTGTCTTGTCTTCTTCCCCATCCTCAGCCAGAGTTATACGTTCCCTGGGCACCTGCGAGCTCAGCTGCAGGTGCAAACCTGGAGCTACATTGGACAATTATTTTTGTGTGACTGATTTGTGATTTTGGAATGTGTCGGGTTGGCAACCCTTTTGACTTTCTCCCCTTTCCCTTTCTGCATGGGAATGGGGAGAACCACATCTAGAGGTACTTCTCTATGTGTGCATCTACGGGGTTACTGGTCCCATTTTTGTTTCCACTGTGCTTATGTCAGCTACAAAACAATCTTATAAAACTGTGGTATTTATCATTCTCTGAGTCTGTCTCAGTGTGGATCCCATTGTAGACGTGCATGCACCTCATGCATGTGAGAGCAGAATTTTTTTTAATTTTTTTTTTTGAGTAGCAAAGTCTGCACGTGCACCCTGTGCCTTTTCATGGACCTGAATGACCGTATAAAGAGCGGCGTGGCCGTGACTCTCCCTCATTCCCTCTGACTGCTTGTGGCACTGAACCTGTGGAATGTCCGACCTACTAGTTCTTAGCTTTGGCTACAATTTCTGCAAACCTTCAGAAAACCTTCAGAAAACCTTCAGAACTCTGTTTTGATTACCTTGATTTTTTTTGACCGCTGCAAATCACATCAACCCATCTGAACCCAGTATTGATAGTTCAACACACACACACACACACACCGTGCTGATCCCCCGTATATACACCCTGTACAGCCCTGTCCATTTTGCAGCGGGGGCACAATAGGAGCTTCTTTTGTCTAAGTGAGTTGCACAGACCTAGCAAGTGCTCTGTGTATCTGCCATTTTCCACTAGGACATGAGATGAAGCTCAAACTACACCTTCTGGAACAATTCATGAAGGTATCCTCAGATCCCGAGGAGATGAGCTCCAAGGTCCTGCTACTGGACTAGCCAGTGTCATCCAGCATTCCTCCAGCAGACAGGCTACACCTAAACCCAGTGCAGAGAAGACCGCACCAAGAAAGGAACTATCACCGGCACAGTCACCCCCAACATTGAAACATCATCAACATCAAATCCGGCACTAGCACTTGTGCCATCAAAGTCCAACACTGAGGGGAGTCATTTCAAATAAAGAGGCAAAGACTCCGGGCAAAGATCAGTGTTCTCCCATAAGGAGAAACAACACACAGCCTCTGGACTGCACCCTTCAGTGTCGACATTGACCATGGAGGATGAGCCTAGGGGAGAACCGGAACAACCATCAGTGCTGAAGCACCTGCCAATTCTGGTATAAATCCCAGTGCAGAGAGCCCCCTACAAGATGTCTACTCCTCCTCACTGTCACCAAAGGCGTATGTTCTCTCCATCTTCAAGTAGAGAACCTTCTCCCCTCAGCTCAGTGGCTGACACCATGGAGAGACTCACCTGATTCCTCAACAAGGCTCTGCCCCAGCCACCTCCTCGGGAATGGCACAGGATTGGATAATGCCAGTGGTATTCTTACTACTGTGGCCCTGTTGGGGTTATTGGGGTCCACCATCTTGGGCATCGAGAAGCCAGACTCAACTTTGCTCAAGGAAGAGGTCACTCCTCCCTTCAGCATCTCTGGCCAGACACACATCAGAGTATCAGGAGGAACAGGATTCAGTGTGAGAGCAACCCTGCATCCCGTATCACTACCTGAAGCCCTCTCATCTTTCGTCCTCTGGCGAAGGGGTATCCTTGGCATCTAGCTGGGAGCCACACTGCTCCAAGCCACAGATCCTCCCCAAGTCCTACAAGAGCTCTCTTGGGTGGCTACTCCCAGTGAATATACGGAAAGGGATCGATCCCATTCTCTGCTCTCTCCCTAACTGTTACATTTATCATAGATGCTTCAGGGACAGGATGGGATGCCCATTTGAACCACCTGCAGATGCCAGGAACATGGTCTCAGAACAAACTAAATTTACATATGAGCATCCTGGAACAGAGAGCCATCAGACTGAATAGAATAATAGAAATGTGGGGCTGGGAGGAACCTTGAGATGTCATCAGATCCAGCCCCTTGTACTGAGGCAGGACCAAGTAAACTTAGACCATCCTTGACATGGTCTTAAACCTCCAATGATGGGGATTCCACAACCTCTCTTAGAAGCCTATTCCAGTACTTAGCTACCAGTAGAATAAGAAAGTTTTTCCTACTATCTTACCTAAATCTCCCTTGCTGCAGATTAAGCCTGTTACTTTTCGGCCAACCTTCAGGTGACGGGGAACAGTTGATCACCATCCTCTTTATAACAGCCCTTAACATATTTGAAGACTGTTATTGGGTCACCCTTCGGTCTTCTTTTCTCAATACTGCCAGGGTTCACCTTGCAGCAGAATCAGCATATCATGCTCCAGAACAGTCATACTCGATCTTCTTGCACCCGATGATGTTGAAGTTAATTAAGGGCCCTCTTCCTATCTGTCCTCCGGTTAGAGACCTGTCTGCCTTGTGGGACCTCATGTCATCCTCCTGAAGCTCATGGAGCTTCCCCGTGAGCCACGCTGGAATGCTCCATACAACATTTTACTATCAAGGCAGTCTTTCTGCTGGCTATTGCTTCCGCTTGAAGGGCTTGTGAGCTCCAAGCTGTCGTGGCCAGACCACCACACACATTCTTCCATCTCATATTTTCACCTGATCCAATCCGTTACCAGACCAGTCTTCTTCCCAAAGCTGCACTCATTTCTGGAAGAGAAGAAACTACATACCTTGGATGTAAGTAGAGCTTTACTATATTACCTTGATAGGACTGATCCGTTTTGGCTCCCCCTTCGCACACCTCTTTTTGGCCATTTCTGGCCCATCCAAAGGTCATTCTGTCTCATCGGAGAGACTCTCCAAGGGAATCATGCAGTGAATTTCTACCTGCAATCAGCTGGCTGGCAATCTGGTCACTTTGTCCATCAAGGCTCACTCCGCAGAGGCACAGGCTGCATCTACTGCCTGCTTCAGGAATTTCCTGCTTCTGAGATCTGCAACATGGAGTAACCCACTGACTTTTGTGAAAAATTATGTCCTTGACATGGCAGCCAGGGCTCATGCTGAGTTCAGGAGACCAGTTCTTCAATCATTGTTTGGTTCAGCTAATGCTCCTCACTGCACCATCCTTAGAGACTACTGCCTGCCAGTGAACTACAGTGGGATCCACACTGACCTACTAAAGAAGAGAGATCGGTTACTTACCCTACAGTAACTGTGGGGTCAGTGCGGATCCCATGACCTGCCCTCTATCTCCGCTTTTTGGAGTCCGTAGCTAATACTAGCTTTGAATCCCAAGGGAACAGAGAGAGGGTTGTGACTGCATTGCCTCATGTGGGAGCACAAAGTACATGCACAGCCCTGACAGATGCTGCTACTCAAAAAAAATATTCCTGTCTTGCACATATGAGGTACAGTTAGACTACAGTATCTCAAAGAACCACAGTTACGGGGCAATAAGTTCTCTTTCAAAGGTAAATGTTGATTAACTTTTTTTTTTTTTTTTTTTTTTTTTAAGCAAACAATCCTGTGAAGGCAGCACAACTGTGGTAAGTGTATCCAGATTCTCATTGCGTGTTCATTCTTACGGTTTGGCAATGAGTCCTTAGGCCCTGTTCCTGCATCAGGGTTGGCTAGCACCGAATCCTGCACCTGCGCTAGCTGACCACAGTGTGAGATCAGGGGCTAAGTATGAAACTGTGTTTGCTTTTCTTTTTGTCTGAGTGGATTTCTGACCTTTGAAAGTAGGAGCAAAATTGAGCTTATTTTCTTTCTGATCTTGTTGTCATTATGTTGAGCATCTAACACTATCGGTGGCTGCTTTGTAAGTTAAAATAAATAGTCTTTTCTTTGCCCCTGAATGTTCACTGTGGTACAAGTAGACCTTTGCTGAGCAAACTACTAATGCTTTTGAATTTGTAACATCGGGTATACATTTTGTTATACCTCTCTAAAAACAGAGCACTGTGCTACATAAAACTGAATTAGAGGTATTATTAAATTAGCATTTTCATGTGGTAACCGACTCATCGTCACTTCGTAATCATGTGAAATCAGGAGTACATGGAACCACACTAACTTTTCTAGCTCTTAATTTATGCTAGGCAGTTGTGTTGCGCACCCCCCCCCCTTTTTTTTTTTAAATGAAATGTGTCAGTAGCAACAGTAGAGTTATGGTGAAGAAGGTACTTGTTTTATGAATCCCTAAGTGCAGGGATTAGCCTTTGAGCTGCCATTTCTTACTTCGTTAGCCAGGGAATGGATGGTGGGTTTGGGTTATTTTTTAGTTTAATTTGGCCATGTTTGTTTTATCAATCTCAGAAATGTGGAGGAAAATGTTGGTTTTCTCCAGTTAGAAATTTTTCACACTTTTTTTGCACTTGATTAAATTAAAAATGCCTTGTATTTTTAAAAAGTTCAAACTTGCCATGAACTTAGCCCTAAATGAGGACAAGCACTCATACAAGCTTGAAGAAATATAGTTTAGAAAAGTAACACTTTCTGCAAACTGTTTTGGTACTCTGGAATGTTTGACATTTTCATACTACACCTCTACCTCGATATAACGCTGTCCTCGGGAGCCAAAAAATCTTATCGGGTTATAGGTGAAACCGCGTTATGTCGAACTTTCTTTGATCCACCGGAGTGTGGAACCCCCCCTCCTCCCCCGGAGCACTGCTTTACCGCGTTATATCCGAATTTGTGTTATATCGGGTAGCGTTATATCGAGGTAGAGGTGTATTATTTAAGGCTTTGCTCTTGCAAACATGTGAGTAGTTCCACTGAAGTCAATGGGATTACTCTTCTGTATAAAATTATGTACTTGCATAATGCAGGATCTGGGAAGTTGGTGTCTCTAGTAGTCATAAAAGGTACAAGACAGTATACCGGGGAGAAGGGAGGCTGAAATGATGTTTATTTAGCTGTCATTTTCATTTTGTTGTTTTTGGGGAATGTAATATGCAAGGATCTCTTAATTCACTCGTAGTTCTCTTACTACTATTAAAATGGACTGCTACGTTACAGAATTTTGAAGGACTGATGGGTTAATGTTTTCATTGTTGTTAGCAGAAGACCCGAAAAGATAGATCTGTCCTGGTACCAACATGTTTCCAATATTCCTGAGAAGTTTAGGCCTCAATCCTGCAACTGGCTCCATGAGTGCGGATGTCTGTGCTTCTCTATATCCTCGTTAGACTTAGAGGAACTCCACACAGGCACAGAACTTTTCCTTTGTGTAGCCAGTTGAAGGATCAAGTTCTCAATCTTGTTCACCCACATAGTAAACTAATTAATGGAAATTATCAGTTTTCTTATTTTTGTCCGTTTTAATTACAGAAAAGCTATTTTTTCTTTGTCTTATTTTAGTGCAAAAAATAATCCTGAAGTCCACAACTACCAGGTAAGAGTAACACTTGCTGGAGGGAATATTGACTTTAGTTTTATTACTTTAATTGTAAAGTTATTGCTGCCTATAATTAAGGTGACTCATTTTCTCCTCTCTCCCCCTTCTTCCCTGTTGTTGTGATTTGTTCCTTTCATACCCTTGTGGTGAGATTTTGTTCTGTCTCTAATTGCTGCAGCAGAGTGGGGAGACGATGCAGAATTTGCAGCCCAGTGGGGAGACACTTTTGCTCCCTCCTGATTCTGGGCAGCTCTGGGAACTGGAAAGGTGCCCCAAACATTTAGACAGCCTTAGAGGGCCTGTTTAAGTTATGGCAACCTCCTGGGCTTACCTTATGGGCTGCAGCACCACCCAGAATCTTTGCAGCATTGCATCGTGCGGTCCCATCCCCAATACACCACCTATGCCAGGGCTTGTTAGGAGGTATCCGCAGTAGGCATTCTTACAATTGTCTTCCATGGTGTTTACACCAGGGGGAATTCTCCTGTGGCTGAGTTGGGGGCTTTTACAGCCCCTTTATGCCATTCCTTCCCTCCTAACCAGGGAAAAGGGCCTGGAGTGGAAGTGAAGCTCTCACCCTTGTTTCATATACTTCACAGTAGCATTGAGTGCTGCTGAGGGAGCAAGTTGCATTTTCATCCAGAGTGAACGCATGTACGAGAAACTAATCGTAATGTATTTTTCAATTAACAAATTTTAAAACCTCCATAGTGATTTTGTTCCACTGTCATTGTCTCATCAGCGCTTAATGGGCATAGGAAATGTCATCGGCATGGTGTTGTCCTTCTGGACCTTACTGCTGTAATAACCCTTCTCCCCCTCCAAACTCTGAATAAAAATGGCTTTTCACCCATTTCCCAAGCAAACAGATATGCTGAAATTATGCAACAGAGCAAAAATGTGGGTTGTGATATCTTTCCAAAAGGAGCAGCAAAAACATTTCCTCACTTTCATTCAGCTGTAACCAAGCTCATGCTAGTGCTTCGTAAAGCTCCGGGCTTGAAGATCATTTCACCAAAAGGCTCTATGCCAGGGGTGGGCAAACTTTTTGGCCCGAGGGCCACATTTGGGTGGGGAAATTTGTATGCAGGGCTGGGGCAGGGGGGTGGGGTGCGGGGTGTGGGAGGGGGTGCAGTGCGCAGGAAAGTGTTCAGGGCAAGGCATTGGGGCAGAGGAGGGGTGCGGGGTGCATGAGGGGGCTCAGGGCAGGGGGTTGGGGTTCAGGAGGGGTGCAGGGTGCGGCAGGAGGCTCAGGGCAGGGGGTTGGGGTGCAGGGTGCAGCAGGAGCTCAGGGCAGGGGGTTGGGGTGCAGGGTGTACAAGGGGGCTCAGGGCAGGGAGTTGGGGTGCACAGGGGTGCAGGATGGAGCAGGGATCTCAGGGCAGGGGTTTGGGGTGCAGGGTGTATGAGGGGGCTCAGGGCAGGGGGTTGGGGGTGGGGTACAGGAGGGGTTTGGGCTCCGGCCCGGCGCCGCTTACATCAAGTGGCTCCGGGGTGGCAGTGGTTCGCACTAGGGCCAGGACAGCCTCCCTGCCTGCCCTGTCCCCAGCCCCGCGCTGCTCCCAGAAGCGCTGCGGCCCCTGGGGGAGGGGAGGCGGAGGGCTCTGCGTGCGCTGCCCTTGCCGTGCCTCCAGGTACCTGCCCCGAAGCCCCCGTTGGCTGCGGTTCCCCGTTCCCGGCCAATGGGAGCTGCGGGTGGCGGTGCCTGGAGGGAAGAGCAATGTATGGAGCCCTCTGCTCCCCCCGCCCGGGGGATGCAAGGACGTGGTGCCGGCAGGGACGTGGTGCCGGCGGCGCCGCGGGCCGGATCCAAAGCCCCGAGGGGCCGGATCCGGCCCGCGGGGCGTAGTTTTCCCACCCCTGCTCTATGCACATGTTGAGCAACATGGGAGAGAGGCTGAATCTTGCCTTTCAAATCCCTAGGTGGTGCTGATATCCCTGGTTGACTGCTATCTTCAAACTATGACAGACTACACTGTAGAGAACTGTTCTATGCATAACAGTGTCCCTTGGATTATGTCTACACTTGAAACTGGGAGCTGTGAGTCTCCACTTGTGTAGACATATTGTAATTAACCAGCACACTAAAAATAGTCTTGTCTCAAAGATTAAGCCATGCATGTCTAAGTACACACGGCCGGTACAGTGAAACTGCGAATGGCTCATTAAATCAGTTATGGTTCCTTTGGTCGCTCATGCCCGAATAAATCTGTTAGTCTTTAAGGTGCCACCAGACTCCTTGTTGTTTTTGTAGATACAGACTAACTCGGCTACCCCCGGATACTAAAAATAGTTGTGTAGCATGGGCAGAAGCGAATGGCGACATGGGCTAGCCATGTTGAGTACAAACTCGCCTGAACCCTGTGGCTACCTACTCTGGACTTGTGCCGCTGCCTGTGCTATCACAGCTGCTGCATTATTTTTAGCACAAGAGCTGGAATTACACCCCTAGCTCCAAGTGTGGACGAAGCTGTAGGTTCCATGGTAGTAGTTCATGCTCACATCTTTCAACAGCTGCAATTGTGATATTTGGTATATTTATAAGGCAGGTCCTTAATCATTTTTTGGTACGACTGGTAGTGAAAGTATGAAATTGCAGTAACAATGCAGGCAATTGTAACATGAGGATGATGTAATTGAGGACAACTCTTCACTTTAAAAAGAGCTCCATAGAAAATTAATCAAATGCAGTCCGATTAAGAAGTGATACAATGACATAATCAAAGCTAATATTTTACTTCCAGCCACAGTATCACCCTAATATACATCCTGGTCCACCACACTGGCACCCTCATACTCCTGTGAACGTAAGGTAAGCTCTCTTCATTGTATGGGAAGAATCATTTTTTTCTTCATTTTAAACAACCCGTTGGATTAGAACTGTGATGAGACTATGAGGTGATGTATGTTAATCACTTCAGTTTTTGCTTTGACATATTCTAAGTCTATTAAATTTATTAAAAGGAACTTGATAGTTTGCTTAGATTTATTTTTAATTTATTATTCAAAACAAAATTTTAGGATTAAATTTTCCTTTTGAATTAATTTCTGTAGGTTGTGTGTCTGGCAGTAAGGTGCTTAATATTTTTAGTAAAATTAATTTTACTTTGATTAGCATTTAATCTCAGAAGACAGTGGAGCATGTCCTTTTAGGGTGGGCTTAAATCAACAACGTACAGATTCGTAATATGCGGCAACCGTTTTCCTGTACTCCAAAAACTTAAATGGAAAATTATAGTGCTTTCCTATTGAACATTGTATTAATAGATTGGTAGATTTTTTTTAAAAATCACATAAAAAGAACATTTTAAAACTACCACTTGAAAATTCAGTATTTGTATAGCTATGAATATGGCTGATCTCACTACATAAAGACTTAAATTTTAGTGCTAACAGACAAGAATTAAGTGAAAACAAGACTGGAAGAAACTCAGTCTAAACTGAAATCAGTATGTTTTATGTGCTTTTTTCCTAGGTAAATATAATTCTTTTTGACTTGTATTATTTTATTGCCAGACAGTGTCTAGGACTTTCAGATGTATATAACTTGCACCACCGTGAGTGCGTAATATTGCTGTTCTCACCTATCCCATCTTCCTGCCTCTTCCTCTTAGTATTCTTAGATAAGATAATTCCATCACAGGGTGGGTGGAGTTTAGTGCTGAGTGTAGGTGAGCACTAGTGGTGAGGGTAGGCTGTAAGGTGGAAGAAAGGATAGTCTGGTCTGAGATTATAGGACTGAAGAAGCAGGGAAAGGGCATAGAGATGGAAGACTCAATATTTCTCAGGTGGATCTGCAGATTACTTATCTCCATCTCAAAATTCCTAGAGAGTCTGGTAATAAAATAAATGTTAAGATAAAAACAAAACTACATTTATGGAAAAAAAACTTTAAAATATGTAATGAATCTGACATAAAATTACTGTTCAAAATCTCTCCTGTTGATTTTAACACTGAATGAACTCTAAAATCTCCAGTTTCCTGTTACCAGGGATTAGCTGCCTCTACAGAGATTTTGTAACCATTTAAGGGTTTTTTCTAAAAGGAATTTCCATTTATGATATCAGTCTCATTAATTCTGATATTTTTAAAGCCTAAAACTTTTCTTTAGGCAGAGTAATGTTGAGATAAGCAGAGCAGTGTGTTAAAAAGTTTGTAAGAGAACTTTTTTTTTCCTCAGTGAAGATTAAGGTCATTGCAAAGAGCTACAGGAAAATATGAAAAATGGCTTTTGCTAAGCTTGCAAGAGATACATAACAGACCAATCCTGCAGGCCCTCTTCAGATGAGTCCTGAAAGGTGCTGAGCAGTCTGGCCCCAATCCAGCAAAGCATTTAAACACATGCTTTCATTTGAAGCATGTGAGTAGTCTCATTGAAGTGAATGGGACTACTCATGTGATAAAAGTTAGAGCATGGGTTTAAGAGGTTGGGTAGGGTTTGTGTCAGAGTGCTCAGCCCCTGGCAGGATCAAGCCCTGGTTTCATATAACTCCCACAGCTGGGTTTGCAGAATTGGGCTTGAGTTGGGACAAGAGATAAGGGGAGGCCGTTTTGTTCTGTTTTGTAAATAATGTAAACTCCAAAATAAGAAGGTGCAGAGTCACTTTCCGTCTTATCTCTATAAAAGCTCCTCAGTAAAACTGTTCTGCTGTTACTCAATTAAAATCTTGTAGGATTGAATTTTCTTCCAAGATCTAACTGAGGTTAGTGGTCATTTGTAATTTTTAGATTTATTATTGACGTTCCCTTCAAGTAAAATAAAAACTTGGCTTTCAATTTTAGATTCACTGTTTTCAGCCTACTTTGGTAGCGTACAAAGAAAGAATGTTTCAAAAAATTAGCGCAACTTCAATGTATTAATACAGAAGTATGTCTGGCATTACGCAATTATTTTTATTCACTTTTCATCATGTTGCTTAAAACAACTGCTTCTTGAAATGATTTATGGTGATTTGGTACATAGTACCTTCAGAAAGCTTGGGAGAGTTTGGTGATGGTAGTAGTTACCTATACCAGTATGCTAGGGAAAACGTATTTTTCTTCCTAGTGGTTTTACAGGGTTCAGAGTATATTTGTACACAAACTTGTATTCTAGCTGCAGGAACTAGAAGTTTTGTTGGGTTTAACAAGGTGAATGTGTAACTAACTCCATCAGAGTTGAGCAAATGGCAGTATTTATGGGTGGATGATTGATTGCTTCATTAATGTTATTGTGTTTTTAATTTTTAAGCCTTTGGGAAATAGTACTTCCATTAGCTCAACTTTTTGCATGATTCTTCATTTATTGCTCATTTGACAAAGCCACTTAGCCTTGCTGCAGTTAAATCTTTTCCCCTGGAAATTCAGTGGCTTTCAAGCATGATTATTTTTATTTTTAACATTTGAAAGAAAAGATTCTAAAAGTGCTGTGCACGTGATCTAATCCAAAGTGCATTGAAGTCAATGGAAAGACTCCCAGTGGCTTCAGTGGACTTTACATCAAGCCCATGGTTCTATCCACTACTCCCTTCCATGGCTGTTCACTCGCCATCATTTTTCATGTACATTTTAGAGCCTATCTGATAAACTCATATTACTGTATATCATTCATAATTGTAAAATCTACTTCCATCTCTCACTAACCAATAACTGTGCAAATGGTACAGGCCACCCTACCATGATGACAGGCCATATTGGAAACCAACCACAAGTGGAGAGGACCGCAATTTACAGTATATCCAAGATCAGAACCAGAAGAATTTAGGAGGAATCCAAAGTATGGTGTATCAAGATAAACTCATGACAACACTTTGAGAAACTGGGTCATCCTAATTTCACCTACCATCTTAGATGATCATTACATTCCATAAGCATTGTCTGTTTGTGCATTATGTTAAAAGTATATTGTGTAAAAAGTGTGTGTCTTAATCTGTAGGGCCATCTTGTTGTTTAGTTAGTGTTCCTAGACAATCTTGAAAGAAGTATTTTCAATATTTTTGTAAAAATCTGATAAGTTTTGTGAAAACTGGTCAGAGTTCACTGTGGCTCAAGTTCTGAAATTTTTGTAAATTGTTAAATTTATCATATTTTTGTGCAACTCTGGGCATGTTTCTTTAAAATATTACACACCACATCTAATTATTTTATCAGCTTGTTTAATTTATGAACCCAGTTAAAAAATGAAGGATCAGAAATTTAGTTTCTTAACTGATACAAGAACAGGAGATGTGAAACAAATGAAAAACAGAATCAAAACTCATTTTTGTAATTAAAAATGACTTAAATGGCCAGTGATAAAGGGATCCTGTTGACATAATCAAAGGTTTTTTTCCCACAAAATAAAATTACAGGTGTTTATATAACTTTAAACACAAGTATAGGGAAAACACTATAATGTTAAACTTAATAGATTACTCTATTACTACTCAGATGTATTCATTAAACCAATGAGAAATTGCATACTATGCCTAAAGGTAGTATTTGCTGCTATGAACACAAGGAATGTTTAAAAAAAATAATGCCTTAATAATGGGTGCTGCTGTCTTTTTTCTGATTTTTTTTTAAATGAAATTGTGAATGTAAACCATGAGGAAACATAAAACTACCTTGTGAAAAATTTTCTCCAAGAGGGTGATTCAAGAGGTAGCTTGTAATCAATGTAGTACTTGAGGGAAGGGGAAACGGGGGTCCTGATTAAATAAAAAAGATGTTAGACTTCTGCGAAGTTGGATGTACACTTTACAAACTCAGGCCCTTACATAGGCGTGACTGGTATTTTGATCACTTGCCTATATTTTAATTAGAAAGTCGTAGCGCCATCTTTATTCATATTTTCTTATTAATTTGGCCTTACAACTGATCTTTTGAAGTTTGCTGGAATAAGTAATATCTTTATATTTGGGATATCTTAAACTGGTAGGTTTTTTTAACTTGATTTTAATAAACCCTGCATTTGTAAATAGGGATAACCCTGCATTTTTTCAGAGCAAATTTGATAGTATATAACTTTGTGAAGTATATTTGTTTACAAATGCTATCATTAATATTTGTTTTGATCTTCCTTGTATGTGCTAAGTACAAATAAACATTCTCAAGCTTCTGGATTTGTTTTGGATATATTATTATTTATCTGTTTAAAAGATATTAATGCAATTTTTGTGGAAGTTAGGGGAATGATACACCACTGTGTTACTCCAGTTTTACGCTCGGGTCACGCTGTTGCTACAATGGTGGCACCTGGAGTAACCCAGTGATAAATCAGGCCCAAGATTTTTCATTGGAATCCACTGGAAATACTTGAATGTACAGTTCACTGCAATGTGAAAGTGCCAATATAATATGTATAGTCTTCAACTGAGTATTCATCACTTCATGATTCATGATTTTGTTATGGAACTTCATTTGATTTCTATAAATATTGTTTATACTCAGTATTGCTTTTCTGTGCAGTATTTTTTGTTGTTGTTGTATACGGGGCTGAAGACATTTAGAGCGAAAGATCTCCCCTTAAAGTACCACATTAGCCCTATGTTGAAGATTTAAGTGGTGCATAAGCCTTGTGCTAGATCTCTGCATAAGGGTGAATTTTGCCCTTTACGATTATTTGTATATAGCAATTTTCATGCCTGGTACCAAATGGGAAAGCACTTATCTTATTCCTTCTCTTTAGAAGCACCTCAGATACTCTCATCTACTTTTTTTTATGGCATGTCCACCCCTCACTACTCAGTGGTCCTGAATACCTATAACAGCAGTGAGATTCAGGGGTAAGGAGGGTTGGTATTGCAAGCAATAGGGGCAGGTCATCTCCTGCTCCCCTTTGCTCCATCCACAGTTGTTTCCTTTGGGGAGCACTAAAAAGGTAAAGGGCTGGTATCCACTACAGGGAGATTGACGCTGCTGCAATCGATGCAGCAGGGATTGGTTTAGCAGGTCTAGTGAAGACCCGCAAAATCGACAGCAAAGCGCTCTCCGTTCAACCCCGGTACTCCAGCTCTCCAAGAAGAGTAAGGGAAGTTGACTGGAGAGCGTCTCCCGTCGACTCAGCACCGTGAAGATACCGGGGTAAGTCGACCTAAGCTATGTCGACTCCAGTTACGTTATTCACATAGCTGGAGTAGCATAACTTAGGTCGACTTACCCCCATAGTGAAGACAAGCCCAAAGTCTGACATTTTGCATTTAACCTTTCTCTCCAGTGATGCTGCTCTGACTTCTGCCACTGCAGTGAACTAGGAAGAGACTCTACCTTTTGAATGGGAGTACTTGTGGCACCTTAGAGACTAACAAATTTATTTGAGTCTCTAAGGTGCCACAAGTACTCCTGTTCTTTTTGCGGATACAGACTAACATGGCTGCTACTCTGATACCTTTTGAATATGTATTTTAATTTAAATTAAATTAATGGAGATATCCCATCTCCTAGAACTGGAAGGGACCTTGAAAGGTCATCGAGTCCAGCCCCCTGCCTTCACTAGCAGGACCAAGTACTGATTTTGCCCCAGATCCCTAAGTGGCCCCCTCAAGGATTGAACTCACAACCCTGGGTTTAGCAGGCCAATGCTCAAACCACTGAGTACACTTTGGGGTTTGTTTTTTCTAAAATTGGCACCCCTACTATTTAGAAAGTATAGTTAGCTAATAAATCAGTGATACCAACCTTTGAATGCTAGAAATGCAACTCACCACTTTTACTTCTTAGCAAGGCAGAAACCTTCATGTTTCAAAGCAAAATTCTATTGCTTACTCTTCTGAAAATGTTTGGTGAATTTGACTGCTAAAGGTAACTCCTTTAGTTTAAAAATTACTTTATAATAACTTTTGAAAATCTCTGGCTGTGAGGATTTCAGACTGGATCCTATTTGCAAGCCACTGTAGGAAACCTCTTTTGATATCACAGTTTTGCATTACATTTCATAAAATAATTTAGGTCCATTATCTATTGAAATAAATGTTCTTATGTCATGTTGTATAGGTTTCCTGCCAGGATTTCCCATGAGAATGCCACCGTTTATTTATTTAAAGTAGTTCTCAGTTGTGTTCCAAATAGTAAAATACACAATTGTTCTATGTGACAAAAGTTACTTTTGAAATCTTTCCAGTTGTCCTAAATAAACAGATGCCGCCACCTACTGAATGCTAACAAAGCAAGTTTTCCAGGATGCCCATTGTACTGTATGTTTAATTTCTGAAAATGTTCTTCATCCTAATTTTTAAAAGTTTAATTTAAAAAATTATAATTTCCTTTGTATTAGTTGTAGGTACTTTTTAGAAAAACTTTTTGAAGACTTATCCTCTCCTGATTCCATAAGAATTAGAAATGTAGCTATGTAGGTCCCAGGAAATGAGAGAGACAAGGTGAAGTATTATGTTTTATTGGACCAATTTCCATTGGTGGAAGAGACAAGCTTTCGAGCTTCACAAAACTCTTCTTCAGGTCCAAGTTTGTCCAATAAAATACCTTCTCTCTCTCATATCCCAGTAAGATCTGAAGAAGAGTTAGCTTGTTTTGTCCACTAACTGAAGTTGGTCCAATAAAATATATTACCTCACCTACCTTGTCTCTTTCAAGAATTGGAAATTGCATGATCACAAATGGTGACAAAACTGTCTTTTCTGCAAATTAGAGATGCTATTTGATGAACAGACATCACACCAGGAATCCAAAATTACATTGGTTCGTGTTCTAGTAGTATATATTGGAGAGATTCTCAGATGTGCTGGAGCACCAGTTGATGCTTTCAAGAGGGATTGGGGCTAAGGTGTCTTTATGCCATCTTTCTGTACTCCTCCCATCCCCCATCTCCCCCAGTACTGAGGGATATCTGGCCAGTTCAGTCCCAGCACAATTCAGTGCAGCCTATTTTGTAATGCAGCAATTACTAGATAGAAAAACACCAAAGTACCAGTCTCCCTCTTGCCCGGACATCCCTCCTACACCAGGGACTCCAGGAGGTGTTGTAATGCCAGGTCTGTGACTTGGGCCAGGTTTATGGCCCATTGCAGCATCAGAATATTGGCCTGGCCCTGAGACTGGGCTGTAGAAACAGGTTCTAGTATTGGGGAAGGAGGCATCCCTTTGAATTAACCCTTCTTAGCATGGATTACTTAACCTGTGAGTTTTCTCTTTTCAATTACTTAATCATGAATCACTTTGTCAGCTGAAGTGCAGACTAAAAGTGTAAGGACTATATCATGTAATGCAATTGCACAGCTGTCAGTCTGGGGTGTTCACTCTGACAGAAATAGAGTTCTGCCAAAACATGTATCAGTGGGCCGAAATGCAGACTTATCAAGTTCAAGGATTGCTTGCTCAAAGGCTATAGAATCAGGTGGAGCATCTAGTATGGCAGGTAAGTTGTAACATGTCTTTTGTCTTTCAGATCCTAAACCAGTGCACCAGAAGAGCTCTTCCATCTTGTAGAAATAGTAGTATAAGAGCTTGCAAATAATTTGGTAAATGTAGCCACTGGTGCCAACAAGTAAGCTGACTAAGACAGGAAAAATGAAGATGCTGATATGACTTGATTTTCGGCACATGGACTCCCAATTGGGGTAGAAAAACATAATCAGAGTGTGTGGGAGAGTTTCCCTGCAGTGGGGAGAGGCAGGCTGACTTCACTCTGCATTTCTTTTTTTTTTGGTGGAGAGGTTTTTTTTTGTTTGTTTTTTGTTTTTAAATAAAAGAGTTATTCAGAAGTTTCATGTCCTTGATCCAGCAGGAAGCCAGGTCAGTGCTATTCCCCCAGGAACCACCTGGCTTGAATAAGGACCACTGCAGCACAGGCTCACTGAGGACCTAATTCAAAGTCCACGGGAAGACAACGTTGATGGGCTTTGGATCAGGCTCCAAGAACAGTGCGAAGTAGTCTGTTTTCCTTTTGCTTTATAAAGTGGGGAGCTGAGGAGAGCAATAGTTATAGGTTATTGCTATTGCTGCAGCACCATTAGTGCTGACGGTTAGCCGGGAAACAGAAAATTGCCCCCCCCTCTTTTTTTTTTTGGTAAGTGTCTGTGTGGATTCTTCAAAGGCCAGGGCATGCTGGAATACTTGCTTCTGCCATAAAACAATAGCAACTAAAGAACCTCATTTTGAGAGGTTAACCTGAGCTAGCTTTGCTGGTTAGATCATAGAATATCAGGGTTGGAAGGGACCTCCGGAGGTCATCTAGTCCAACCCCCTGCTCAAAGCAGGACCACCAATCCCAACTAAATCCCCAAATGGCTCCCTCAAGGATTGAACTCACAACCCTGGGTTTAGCAGGCCAATGCTCAAACCACTGAGCTATCCCTCCCCTTGCCCATGTGTTCACTGCACTTGTTCCACATCATGAGGATGAAAGCTTGGGATTGCTGGAACTCAGAAGTTTTTTGTGTAAATAGCATGTTTGCATCACATTTATTTCTGTTTTAAGAGTGAAATGGCTGCACTTGAAAAATACAACTCCATTTTTATTTTTCGTGCTTATAATGGTAGTACCTAGGGGCCAACCAAGAAGGGGAGGGGGCCCATTGTGCCACTGTACAAACATAGAAAAACATAGTCCCTGTCCCTTTAGTGACTGAGTTTATAGTCTAAATAGGAAAGATAGACACAGGGTCGGGGAAAGGGACAGAACAAATATACCTCTCCATCAGTGTATATTGTTTGTTGCATTCCCATCCCTAGAGATACCTTGAAAAGTAGTCAAATTCTGAGAGAGACAACAATCGCAAGGAGCCAGGTTTTCAAAAGAGCTCAGAGCCCAGCAGCTCCCATTGTTCTCTCAAGTGCCATTGTATTCTGAAAAGTGATGGGCATTGTGGGCTTCCATATTGAATGTTTCTCAAAGATTTCCATATCATAGGTGCTAAGTTTTTCTTTCTGCCTGACCTGTTCCTACCCCCCCACCCCCAAAAAAATACCAACCTAACCTGGGTTCTGAGAGTCAAGTTGGGTTCCTTCCTTCACATGGCTCATCCCCCGTAATAAAGGTTCTGCAGGCCAAATCCTGTATCCGTTACTGGCACACCTTTGCAATCCAGTTTTAGAAGTCTGACCCTTGATAGTTCTTTCAAATAAAAACAAATTGTTCCTTAACAGCTAGCCCTGGGATATTTCTGAATGTGGTTTTTAAGCTCTTCAGGGCAAGGATCTCATCATACCTGCCTGAAAGGCCCCTAGCATACTTATCACTAAATAAATACTAATACATAGAAAATGTAAATAGAGCTCCATTAACAAACTTTTATATTAATTTACAGTATGTAATCCTCTTTAGATTTTTTTTCTCCATCCCAGTTCAGAGATCTGGTAAATTCTTTATAATTAAAAATACACTGTTAGTTCAAC